CCCCATCATCCCACAGGGCCTCTGGGGAAGAAGTGAGCAATGGGGGTCCCCTCACCCAGGCCAGCTGGTGGCCCCGGGAAGCAGGTGGGCAGCCTGCCCAGGGGACGGATGTGGAGCAGGGTGCCAGGGCTGCTGGTCCTTGCCCAGCTGTTACTGGCTTCAGGAGCCCCGAGGCACGATGTTCTGTTCCTACTGCAGCGCCTGGTTTGGCCCCCGCCTGCGCTGCCTTCTCAGAGCTGCTGGAGGAGGTGAGCTGCTGCTGCCAGGCTTTTCATCTGCCTCCTGGATGAGTGTCACCCTGGCTCGGGGTGCCTGGTGATACAGATGTTGCTGACAGGGAAGTGGAGGAGCACTGGGGTGGAGTGGGACCTTGGCCAGGTGCTGGCTGACCTGGCATCCCCTGGCTGTGGGGCTGAGGGAGCTGAGGAGGCGAGGTCCAAGGACCACCTCACCCCCAGCGCTGTCCTTGCATCCTGCACCCCGATGGCAACACCCCAGGTGTTATTAGGTAAAGCTGGAACCTGGGAAGCTGTGCTCACCCCGTGGTGCCCCTCCAAATATGATACAGTGCACTGAAGGAGAGACACCTGCAGCTGCATCCAAGACAGACTGGGTGCAGGGTTGGACATGCTCCCCCTGTCTCCATCACCACTCCCCTGGGACTGGTCTGAATGGGGCACTGTGTAGGGATCAGCATGTTTTTCCAGGCCACTGTATCTATGGGGTGTCCTGGGATGTCAGACTGGGGTCATCTGGGGTAACAGGCAGGAAGGAGGTCACAGTGGCTGACACCAGCAGGCTCCATTTCAGGTCAGGATTGGGACCTGAGGACCAGATACCAGCTCCTCTGCCCCAGTTCCTGGCATCCCCATCTGGGTAGGGAATGAGAGATGTAGTGGGGATACCTGAGACCGCAAGGGATCTGCCACCCTGGGGCCCCTTTTGGAGCAGCCTGGCTGGGTTTTGTCCCGCAGGGCTGAGCCAGCCTGGGGATGCAGCAGTTGCCACCTGCTCACACCCAGGCTGTAATCCACAGGCAGGAGGTGAGCAGCTGGCGGAGCCTCCCTGACCTTCAGGTGGGATTAGTCCCCATGGGAACAGTGGGGAGCAGGCAGGTAAGGCCACAGCTCCCCCGGCAGCTCCTGGGGACTGAGCAAGGCTGGCAGAGCTGGGGACTGAGCACACCCCCACGCTGGGGACACCCCACAGCCAGGGCCAGGCAGGGGCCATGCAGGGCAGGTCCTGGATGGGTGGCAGCGGGTGAGCACATGTCCCTGGTATCTTTGTATCCTTGTCTTGGTGGGTCTTTGTGGGTGTATCTCCGGAGCTGTGGGTGGCACAAGGCAGAGTGGGCACCCACAGTCCCACAGAGAGGGTGTGAGCGGTGTGCCCAGGGGTGTCCAGGGCGCCGGTGTGGGCAGCGGGTGGGCAGGTCTGCTGAGCCAGTCCCAGCAGAGGTACTGGTGGCTGGTTGAGGACCACGGGTACATGGAGAGAGCAGAGCCTAGGCTGAGGTGTGCTCCCTGGAAGATCACCTCAGCAGGCTGTTCGCAAGACAAACAGTGGTGAGCAGGAACATGTGGGTACCCCTTGCACTGCAAGTGGCTGTGCCCTCCCACCGTGTCCCTGCCCTTCTCTGGTCATTGGTGATGGTACCCAGAGACCAGTCAGCACCTTGGTCCCCAGTTCCCATCAGAGTGTTCTCTCACTGTCTGCTCACCCTGAGGACTCATCCTGCCCTGGGTGCAGCAGGAGCTGGGGCAAGTCCCCCCAAGGGAGCTTGAGTGCAAGCAACCTCTCCGGGCACAGAATGGCTGTCAGCCCACGGCGTGCGTGTGCAACTGTGTGGGAGCTAATCCCAGCAACATCTGCCAGGCTGTTTGCGATCCCGGGAGTTTCCGGCTGCAGGGAGGGGACGGCTGGGTGCGCAGAGGACACGTGCATGTGGGGTGGCTGGTGTGTGCCAGGGCTCCCTGTGCAAGGCAGTGCCTGTGCAAGGAGGCTTCTGCAGCAGGTATGTGCCTGCATGTGTGTCCTCTGTGGTCAGCAAGGCCCCAGGAGGTGACAAGTGGCACTGGGGACCCCAGTGAGTCCCTCAGCTCTGGGATTTGGGGACACAGCAGGTGGAAGTGGGAGTTTTGGATGGGGTTTACCAGTCCGGTGGAGCCACGCTCAGACCAGCCACAAAGCGGAGATGCTTGGGAAGGGAAGGGGGGGTGTTTGCACCCTCACCAAGAAGGATGATTTCTCAGGGAAAGGAGGCTGGGGGAGAAAGGGGAGGGAAAAGGAGTGGTGAGGCTGGTTAGGGGGGAATGACACACTGCCCCTGATCTAATCAGCCAGACCCTGCAAATAAAAGCCACCTGTTTTGGCCCTGGCAGCAGGAAGTCATCCCCAGAACAAACAGAGCACCAGGCAACTGGGAGAAAGACAAACAGGGACCAGCACCAGCTCCATCTGCTCCTGCTCAGCCCAGCCCCTGGACCTCAAGCCCCTTGGGGTGACAGTGCAGCACCCAGCAAGGTTGGGGACAAGGAGAGAGGTGCTAGTGGGGCTCAGGGGGGTAGCCAGGGCTCAGCCCACAGCATCAGACAGATGCAGGACTGCACACAGCTGTGCTGGCCTGGTCAGCTAGTCTGGATACTTGTGAGAGCAGTGGGAAGGACAGTGTGCTGCCATGAGCCTCACATGTCCCATATGTGGCATCAGCATCAGGATGCCTGGGCAGCACCTGCCTCACCTCCCTGGGGGCTGCCCTTCAGCCTGCTCAGGGTGAAAAGGGAGTGAAAAAAACATCAGGGCACCAGTGCCTGCACAAGGCATGGGGTATAACCCCACGGCTGGGGGCCATGGATGACATGGTCTGGGCTCGGTGTGAAGCACTCGGGTGACCCAGTCCTCCCACCGTATTCTGAGGCTGCCGGCTGCCTGCACTGTGCCCGGTGGCACAGAGAAACCCGATCTGTTTTGCTACCAAATGGAACAGGCTGAGCTGGAAGCAGTGCAGGGTCCTTATTAAATTAGCCTATGCAGGAGGCCCTGGGCAAGCACTAACCATCTCCCAGAGCCAATATTATCTGCTGCCCTTGAGCAGTGTTGCTGCCTGCCCCCGCACCAGCCTCCCCCTGCCTCTGTCCCTGACGGGTCATGTGTGGCTGGGGGCTGGCAGGTGACGCAGCCACAGGGATGCTGGCTGGTGACAGGGATTGCCCAGAGGTGCTGGGAGATGCTCCAGGGAGGCCAGGCTACGTCAGCACCCTGGGGTGCAGTGGGGAAGGGTCCTTGGCACAGCCCCTCGTGGGTGACCCCCCTGATCTACTGTCCCTGGACACAGCTGTGGCTCCCATGTGGCTGCCCTGAAAGCAGGGGGTGAGGCAGATCCCTGCATGTGGGACACGCTGAGCAGTGAGAAAAGGGCACAACCTGCATCTGGGGGTGGGTTTCTCCCCTGTGCCTCCCCCAGTGCTTTTATCCAAAGAATGGTATATGGACAGCTGAGCTGCCTGCGTGCTCCTTGTGGCACAACACCAGTGCCCCATAGATTCTGTAGCGCACTGTGCTGTGCCCCACACACCCCATACACACACACCCCATACCAGCCCACAGCATCCCACATATCCTGGGGTGCCCCATGCCCTGATGCTTTGTAATACACCCCACAGTGCTCTGTACCCCATAATGCCCCATAGCACTCCATTAACCTGGGCTCACATAGCCCAGGCGAGGGGCAGCAGCATTGTGGGGGGACCCTGCAGTGGGCTAGCTCTGCATCTTGCCCCACCTTCCCCAAGGTGTTGGCTTCCTTAAGGGACTGCCCAAACCTGTCCCCCCAGCACTCTGAGGGATGTCCCCAGGCCACCAGGCTGCATCCCGGGGGTCTGCTTACCCCCATGCATCCCCCCGGTGAACATCCCTATCCTTCCCTCCATCCTCTGCTCCCAGAGGATCTCCCTACCTTGCTACGACCACCCAGGGCATCGCAAGTTGAGGGTCGCCTCCCCAGCCCCCTGCCCAGGGCCACCAACGTCCCTTAGGTGGATCCAGCTCCAACCGCTGCCAGGCTGCACCCTCTGCTGGGACCTGCAGGCATCGGCGCAGCCCGGCGCCCAGCCTCAGAGCCGGGAGGTAAATGCTGCCCGGCGCGGCGTCGAGCACTGGGGGCGACACGGAGTGGACCCACGAGTCCTTCCCCCAGCCCGTCCCTGCTGTTACCCCTCAGTCCCCAATTCTTGCTGAGAATGGGGAGAGATACCAGGCGTCCTAACACCCACCCCAAGCTGCCCATGCTGCACCTTCCCTCCCCTGGCACTGTCAGGCTCTCTTGGGATGCTGACCCCATGCTCAGGACCCCCAGGAGGGCTGGGGTTTTCCAGGGATGGTTTGGGGTGCTCTGGGCCAGCCCTTGCCCGGAGGCCAGCGTGGCTCTTGCCCAGCTGAAGGTGGGAGAGCCTGGCCTCACCACCAGCTATGCAGGGATGCTGCAAGAAATGCTGCTGCCAAGAGACCCAAGATTTCATGGCTCAGCCTGTCTTGGCCTCATCCAGCCCAGGTCCTGGAGGAAGGCACTGGGGATGTCTGCATGGCACGGTGCAGCCCCAGGCAGGGCTGGTCCTGCTGCCCAGGTGAAGAACACAGCTCTGCCCCAAAGCTGATCCCCTCCCACTGTGCACAGTGTCCCCTGCCTGGGCTGGAGGTGTGTGGGGAGCACAGGGATGTGCCCAGGGTGTTGCTAGCAAGCAGCATTTAACTGGGGTCGATCTGTGCCTGGTCCAGCGCCAACACAGAAATCTCTGCAGGGTGTTGCCCATCTCCTAGAGCATGGATGGACCAAGTTGTGTCTGTGCCAACACCTTCTTCACCCCCTTTGCTCACCCTAACCTTCTCCCACCCTACATGGAGCCGTGTCTGTGCAGACTGAGTCCCTGCCCTGCCAGCTGGGGACATGGAAGGCAGAGCCCGGCTGGAGGAGGGACTCGTGATGGCAGAGTCCCAGGCAGAGGGGCAGATGCAGCCCCAGGCGAGCCCCGCAATCCTAGTGTGAGGACATCAGTACCCCTCAGCTTCCAGCTGGCAAATCTCTGCTTCACCCTGGCACCTCCTTCCCACCAGCCTCAACCCTGGCAAAGGCTGCCAGTGCCCTGGGAAAGGCTGGGTCTCTAATCCCTGGGCCAAGCAGGGACATTGTCCGGGGGCAGAAAGGAAAGCGGCGCGTCAGGCCCTTTGCCCATTGTGCCCTGAGCCCCTGCGCAAACACAGCCCAGCACTTTCATTGTCAGCCCCGCGGGGTGCGGGGGGGCTGCTCTCGCCACACTGCCTAAGTGGAATGGACAGCCGGAGTCTGGGGTGGGTGCGCACCCTGTCCCCCCCCATCCCCTGCCTGCTGACACAGCGCCCTGCCCGCCTGCACCATCGGCACTTCGGTGCCCGCCTATAAAGGGCGAGAGGAAAAGCCGGCGCCGGCACCGCCACCTTCGCTTCTGTGCCCTGCCGACCAAGTAAGTACCAGGCTGTGAGCCCCCAAGACCCCCCACTCCACAGGCGCT